TACAGGCCCGCACAAGATAACATTAATACGTTTTAAAGCCCAAAGCGACGTTATAAAACCCGGCTTTGGGCTTTACAACGGAGCCCGAGTATATAGTAGCCATTCGATTCTCCTTTCTTTCTGCACCCTCCTGTTAAAATTTTTGATGGGCCTCAAAAAGTACCATTTATGCATTCATTTATACAAAAAGTTTGGATAATTTCACTGTAGGGGGCGCTTCTGAGTATATATTTATACATTTATATCAACGTATCGTTATCAGCCCCCAAACTTGGCAACACTGCTGGGCCCGACAACGCGCGTACAATATATTTTTATAAATATACGGCGGCTTTAGAAATTAATCATAAAAGCACTAGATGATATTTTATTGTAGCAGTTTACTGATCTATAAATTGCTGTTGCAGTCCAAAGCGACATACAATTTTTAAAACCGCGGAACTACACCTTTGTTTTATGTTTTTGGGTTTCCTGTAAATATGTATTATTATTTGGTTCCAGAATTCAATTATAAATTTATTTTATTTTTAATAAATTTGCGAGGTTGGCAGAGAAGCTAAAATAAGTAATTACAATTATTTGTTCGTGGATTACAATTTTTAGTGTATTCCATTTATAACAGATTTATATATTTGCATGGATCCCCTAGGGGAAAAGTGGTGGAAAAGAGGATAAAATAAAAAATATACATAATATATTACTAATACTATTATTCCCAAACTGTTAGTAATGATTGTTATAAAGTTAGTAAAGTATTACAAAAGTTGTTCTGGTTTTACAAAAAAGTGGCTAACTTTTATAGCAATTAATAACCATGTATAGAGAACTGTTTAGTAAATAGTACTAAAAAATCAAAATGGCCTCAAGTAATTAATGGATGCCCCCTAATTAATTACCACGAGTACTATTTGCAACTACAAATAATATTTGCTATTACACACCTTAAAATATTCGACATATATTTTTAATTGCGAGTGGTATTTGGAGGACAATTTTATCGAACAAATGATTAAAAAATAATAAAAAAATTGAAAAATATTTACCTGGTAGCACTAGTGCCATATTCGCTGCAATTTGTACTAGTCCAATTTTCTAAACAATTACTCTAGATAGGCTAAAAATTGTCAAATAAAGCTCAGAGCCCTTGGTTTACTTTTGGTAGATGACAGGTAAAAATATTGCCCTACATAGTCTAAGCGATTATTGGAATTAAAAATATATTAATATATATTTTTTCACCATAATATTTACTTTTATCATACAAAATTTTTTATATACAGGCGTTGAGTGAAGGAGCAGTTATTAATCAATGATTCAGGCGTTTCAATTTTAAATATATTCAAATTTTGCACTACCCTAAAATAGGTGATAAATATTCGTTTTAAAGAAAAGGGACTAAAAATTGTTTTTTTCAGTAATGTGACACATTTTGAAAGTCTATATGCTCACAAACCCCTGTTGGTTAATATTCTAAACAAGAACATTTTTAAAAATATTCGATTGTAGTTTAAAAAAAATACTGCCGGCCAATAAATATATTTTTCAAATTTATAGAAAACACCTAACCCCTTACCCCTTAAGGGGTAAACTTGATAATATCTATAATATAGATTCTACATGTCATTTTATGCATATGCACGGAGAGAACAGTTTTGGGAATGGTTACTAAAAAGTTTAGTAATTTGGGGACAGCTTTAATATTTTAGGAGTGGGCGCTTTTGGGTTTAGTAATAATTTTCATATATTTAGCATAAGTGTTGTTTGGCAACTATGCCTTTACTGAAAAATAGTAATTACAAAATGAAGGAAGATCTAAACTTGAGTTTAATAACTACACTATAATGATAGTTAACTATTTTGAATTTACCATTAAATATGCACAATTAAATAATAATAATTAATTTAACCGAATTAAACGATAACCAACAAAATGCAAAAGATAGCCGACCAGGGCCGGATTTACCGAACAGACAACGTAGGCAGCTGCCTAGAACGGAAAAAATTAGGGGTAACTAAATACTTTGGATGAATTTGGACAGAATTTTTTCTAAATTAGTATAGCATACAAAGTTCTTGATAAAAAATAACCGAGAATTTTTGCATGCATTGCTTGAATAAACACTTTGTGACAAGTGTCTTCAATTAAAAAATTTCAAAATATAGAATGTTTAAGAATAAAATGATGAAGTGAAAACTACTTGAGATAAAAATTTGTTGAAGAACGATTAAACGCACTCTCTCTTAGCTATAAAGTCAGATTGTCTCATGTCTTATTTCTATATTATAGACACGCCAAATTCCTAAATCCGAACCTGTAGCCGACTACATAGAAAAATAATTTTGGGAATTTGCTTCCACACTTTTAGTATATTAATTAAATACAAATTAATAATATATTGTGAAAAGTTTTAATATAACTTAAAACTATTATTGAAATGTATTCTAAATTAAAAAAGTAATAAATTATAATTATTAACTTAATAATGACACGCTAAATATTAATTATTAATATTTTATTTTATAGTAATTACTATAATAGTATATTATGTATCAAGTTTTATAAACGATATTTTAGTTACGAGTTTAATTAAGCAAGAGCGAAGCTTGCGAGCGAGTGTTTAATAAAAACTAGTGTCTAAAGAAGTTTATGAACGAGTTACATACTATACTCTATCTACGACGAACACAAAACAAAATTTAAGGCGAATTTTATTTGTTAAAAATTTGACATCTGTCAACTGTCACCCGGATTTAAACCTCACATTTTCTAAATTTATAATATAGCTAACTTAAAAGGCACTGTTGCTAACTTCAGCTCGGGACTAAAATGCCATAAAGCCACAGGTCGTCAATAGAGGAGTAGATAAAATAAAATATCAATAATTAATATTTAGGATTCATTACTTTTAAGTTAAAAAGTTAGAAGTTTTAACAATCAATACCTACGAAATATTAATGGTAAAATGTTTAGTAATGGTTATTTTACAGATCGTATACTTTTAATGTTCTGGTTTTACAAATAAAGGAATAAATACATAAGTTTTGGGTTTCATTAAGAATAGATTAAAAGCGAATGTTAGAAAAAAAAATATTGCAAGAAATTTAAGTCAGATATGCCTTAAAAAATGTAAGTCGTTCTTTATTTTATACTTAAAATGTATTTTGCAAACGTTAAATCTGTCAATATTAATTTTTTCTTAGTGTTCTATAGGATTTCAAGATATTTAAAATAATAAAAACTCCAATAAAAATATTTACATTTATGTATGGTTAATATTTACATTTATGTATGGTTAATATAAGTAAATTTTGTCAAAAATACCACATAAGTAAACAGTTTTACACTGGATTTAAAAAAGGAAAAATGTCTAGTTAAAAAAATACTGGTGAAGCCAATTATACTCATATAAATTAATTTGTATAGAAATAAATAAGAAGATTTTTGTATATTTATTATTTTTATATTACAGTAATAATACTTAATAATATAATTATTCTAAATTATATAATAAAAGCTATAATTCTAATTTTATTATATTTATTACATGTTTATTGGGATAAATTATCGTATATAATACCACTAGTGGTAAAATTTTACCGATAAAATTTTTGATTTTTATACGAATGTTTTTTTCTTGGAAATTTCGCAAGTGGCATTAATTTTTAAGACCACGAGCCGCTAGGCGAGTGGTTTGAAGTTAATGCCACGAGCGAAATTTCCAAGGAAAAATCTTGAGTAAATAAAAATCAAAATTTTTTTCAGGGAAAATTTTATCACGAGTGGTATTCGGCAAGACTATTTCACGAATATTTTTAACTGCTGATTCAATTTCTGTATGGTTTTTTGGGCCAAAACGCATATTTTTTAACATTTTAATTTTAAAATTAAAAACGTCAACAGTGACAATTATTTTTATCATAGCAACCAATTGGTTGTTATGCAACTCGTATAAACGAGTGGTTTTTTCACCTGAATAGTAGTTTTATCGCTGCAAAACTGAAAAAACCACTCGTTTTCTGAAATCTGATTGGTCCAAAAAGTAATGAGTGGAATAGTCAATAATAAACTTAAGATTCTGAGATTTTATGTTATCTTGAAGAACTTTTTAATAATTCTAAAGTACATTTTTTTAAATTGTGAAATTTTAGGGATAATTATAATTATTAGTATTATACTATATTATAGTATTTCAGTATTCCAGCAAATACTATACACGAACACTACTATGACAAGCCCGTAAATTTAAGAAACCACAAATGCAGAGTATTAACGAATATTTAAAGCTTGACCTTGAATCTAAAAATAGATTTGTTACGGGTAGAATTGGCAACACCGCTGGGCTTTGCAGCGATTAATCAGTATATATTTTTATACTAGTGGGCTTTTCAACGTATTAATAATATATGCTTGGGCTTTACAAGAACAAAAATGTTTCTACCGACAATCCTATAGGGAAATCTTTACCCCTCGTCTTTCCCCTCTATAGGTTTTTAATGATTTAAATGAGATAGAAGATAAGTATACACGCCTAAACCACTAGCAACTGCAGGGCTCCGAAGCGACCCATCCGTCTCCGGGCTTCAAAACATACCATTTATAGGTATATATATATATATATATATATATGTATGTATGTATGTATGTATGTAAGCGAATAGTAAAGTAATCTTATCTAGAATTTTTTTCGAAAATGACCGAAAAAATTAAAAAGTTAGAAGTTTTTATTTTACATTTTAAAACTTTAAAATTTTTTACTTATTTAAACTAAGCTTACAATGGACCAATTTTTATGATGTAATGATTATGAGATTTTACAATTTTTATTATTATTTTTAAAACCCATTAAAAAGTGTTAAAAATGTTTACCAGGAGAACAGTTATGTACTCGTTAGATCTTCCTGAATCAATTTAATTCAGTTCATATAATTTTAATTTCTATAAACGTCAACTAGTTAAGTACTGTTTTAACAATGTTAACGTTTGTTTCTTGTTGTTGCAGAATGAGGTTTAAAGAGAAGTTTCGCAGAAAATACAGCGCGATGTGGCAGTTTTTCTGGTACGTCGTTATCAGCGTCTTCTTCACGATAAACTTAACAGGAGCTGCACGGAGGTCGCAGATGAACGGCACATGGATGTAAGTTATGTTTATTGCCAGCCATAACCAAAGGACTATTTGCTTTAAATTAGAATTTCCACCCGACCGGCTCTTGTCACAAATCTAAATACCAGGGCAGTCAATTGCTTATTTGTGTAATTGGCTACATTCAAAACAAATTGTCCGTCTTTTAATTAGAAACTGCAATTTATTAGTATTAATTAATTTTAGTTAGTCAGTAATTAAAAAAATGTCAAAACACGTCAAGTTTAAAGATGAACATCTTTTTCAATACATGTCTCTTGCAAAAGTCTTTATTAGTCTTTTAAGTACACAAAATTAGTTTAGTTTTATTTAACAAATGGTTTATAGTACCTATTGCGAAAAGAGTGGAAATGATCGTTGGAATATCGAATTGAAGTATAAAGGCGCCTTTATCTACTTTATCGTTCAAGCACATTAAAGTGCATCTATTTATTTTTGACATTTAAAATTTAAACTTTAAATTGTATTTTTACTTGAAAGTGATTTTAAGAACCAAAAATGAAAAAAAGCAGGAAATGGAAGTGGCAGAGAAAGAGAAAGGAGACGAACCGTTATATGGTCGTTGTAAATTTGTTTTGTTTATGTTGCGGTCTCTTTACGCCCAAAAAAAACAATACAATATTCCATTACAAAATTTTATGAGATGTACCTACCAGCGGTTATTAATCTATACAGGAATATTAAATGGACCTGATACACGATGTTTAATGAAAGATCAAGCATTCGAAAATGCTCTCAAAATTGACGAGCTTGTCCCATAATAAAGCTGTCATTGAAAATGTTCTTGGTTTATATCGGGCCTAAAATTGGTAGATATCTATGGGTATAGCAGAAAGAAGTTGGATTCATTGCTAGGAGACATTTGCTGGAATTTGCAGCAAAAGATGTAAGGGCACAATAATACTATAATTTAATTCGATATTTATTACGATTTAATAAATTTAAGGTAGAAAAAAGCAAATTTATGCAATTTAGATAAATTTTGTGCACTTAATTTGGATAAAAAATACCGAAACTTGTTTACTACATAAAATGTCAAATAATGTTTTTTTTCCATAAAATACATTACAATTTTAGTTTTAGTATTTAAAATGTCATATTGTTAAGTTAAATATGATCTATTTGACGTATACCAATTACTTCAGTACATTCAAGATAAATTTAAGCCAAAATAATTTAATAAATAATTAAAATTCTAACAAAAACATACATTTTGAGGTGATTGAGCAGATCATTTTATTACGAAATTATTTTAAATCCTAGACGTCCTAGAGAAAACCGAAAGACATTTTTGAAATCAGCAGCCAAAAATTAGTTAAACTAAGCTGGAGTACTCAATGTTAGGAAAAAAAAGTTTCTAAAACTATCATAGTAATAATTATTAACGTTAAACGTTGGTCTCACTGATTTTAAAGTGGTTTACCCCTCGTTTGGTCCATTAATTAAATAAGGATGATTTTGACCAGCGACTGGAGTTTTTGAAACTATGACTGAATAAATATTTAATGATGACAATTTGCTTTTCAACATCTGTTTTTTCGACAAGTGTACATTTTTCCTCAACTCAATTGTCAATCGTCATAATTGTCGTTACTGGGCAGATGAAATTTCAAGGGTTTTCCACAAGTCCATTCTCAAACTTCTCAAAAACTTAATGCCTGGGCAGGTATTTTCGGACCAATTAGTCTTGATGAAATGTATTAGGAATTACTATAAGATGTAAGTCATCCCCTAATCGTCGATATTATTAAACACAATGACTGCATATTGTAAGATAATTTAATGTTCTAACAAAATGGAACACCTTCACACTATGCACTACGTGTTGGAGAGTTTTTGAATGGAGTGTTTACTGGACAAGGAACTGGACGAGAAGAAGCTCTGTATTTAACTCCCCTTTACTTTTTTATGTTGGGTACTTTAAAAAGTAAAATTTACGCAACAGTGCCAGGGTCTTTACAAGAGTTGTGACGTAACGTGGATGAATACTGTCAAATAACTGCCTAAATACTTTAAAATGTTAGCAACAGCTTTTTAAACCACAAATTATATGTAAATGTGTATTTAAACGGTCACTTAGTGTCATGGAAACATGTACGATAATAAACGATTTAAAGGTGGGAGTAGAAAAAAAATAATATACGTAAGCTTAAAGCTGATTGCTTTACCACAACAATTTTACCGCCGTTAAGTCGATTGAGAAATTCCACATTACATAAGAAATTTTAAATTGAAAATGCATTAAAAAATATAATAAATCAAATACATTATATTAGTTATGTAAATAAATTTAGCACTTATATTGTGTGAAATACAATTAACAGCACTCTGCCATTTGAAACAGCTTTTGTAATAATACTAAAGCACATAGAACCGCTTGCTTAAATTCCAACGTACGAAATAAATAAACAACAACGTAAGTAAAACGGACATATTAAAAATAAGTATAAATTGTCTTTAATGAACATACGTGGGCTTTTAAATGCGGAAATTAAGTGTCAATGACAAAATAGTATCCCTATTTCAGGTTTAAAGATGTTAATAATATACATAAACTTTTCAGGAATAACTCGAAACAACGATTACTTTAATTGAATTTGAGGATACCGGCTAATTTAACGTTATTTACACTTAGTTATTCTACTTTCATAAATTGTTACAAAGTGCTAACTGATAACAACATATGGTTTAAAACATAATACCAAATTTGGAGGACCAAATGGGTCAAAATCAAAGAATGATAGATCTTTAAAGTGAAATTAAACACGGTGCAATAAGGTAACCACTTTGTTTTACTTTTAGATTAAAGAACATATTATGACATTTTGTATGGTAAATAACATCTGGCAAATGGCCATCCTTTTGGATTTTGGATTACTTTCTGGCAGAGATCGTGTTGTATTTCGCCAATGACGTCTCGGATATTGCCTCTGAGTGCTTCAATAGTTCGAGGCTTATTTCCATTCACGAGACTCTTCATATACCTCCATAGAAAGAAATCTAAAGGAGTGAGATCTTATGATCTCGCTGGCCAATTGATATCGCCGTTACGTGAAATCACAGACCCATGAAATTTTTCTGCTATCAAGTCCAGTTTTTCACGTTCTGTTGGAAAAAGAGGTTTTTTTTGGATCCTCATCCTCCAATCGAGGCCAAAAGAAATCCCGTATCATCGTTCGGTACCTTTCTCCTTTGACCTTGATTTAATCTTTATCATAAAGAAATATAAACTTAAACGTCCGGGTAGGAGGTTGCAGTTTTTGCTACTTTTTCTGTTGCTTTAAAAACTAAGTGAAATATTCAAGTAGGAAAGTTGTTTCCGAATCAATTTTCAACTAATTTTGTTTAAACAATTTTTGAATATTTGAACGATCGTTCGTTCTCGGGAATTCGACAAAGTTCGAGGTGTCGCGAACAGGCGTTGAATAAATATAATAAGCATGCATAGTGAAATTCACGCATAAACAAAACGTCAGTCATACCAACCTAAAGACAATTAAAAAATTTGGGTTTACAATTAACTGTTTTCAGCTGTAGAAACCCGCCATTTTCGTATAGATCAAAACGCAGAAAAATCTAATTTTTCGCTGCTCGTGTCATGAAAAAATATTTCGAAACATATGGTAAAAATAATATAATAATAATAATACATTTATTGAACCAGTTAGCATAAATAATATTAAACAAAATTTCAATTCTTAGGCTAAAGAGTTCAAAGGACCTGATTAAGATTTTCATCTCATTCTTCCCCTGGCCCTGGATTATTTTAAAGCAAATAGCACACTTTATGGATCCTTGATTTTTTAACCAATCATCCAACCACACATATGTGTATAGTATATACTACCTATAGGTTAATTATAATTAATTATAATAATAATTAATTATAATTAATTTAATAATTTAACCATTCTGTTCATTCAGTAATCTAGCTTTTATTTTAGATTTAGTTATAGTGATATTCCAAATATGGAACTAAATATATAACTTCTGATACTGATAAAATTAAAATAATTGAATTCTTTTAAATTTTAGTTTTATATTTTTGTATTGCACACTTCTTAATTACAATTTATCAGGATTTTACTGGATTTCAATTAAAAGTGTAAAGTAATAAAAATCCAATGTCATAAAAACCGAATTTATAAATGACAATTTATAATGGAAAATAAAAAAGGTAAAAATATTTATATTTACTGTTTTCGTCGGTATTTTATTAAATAGGTAATTTTATGTCCCCATAAACTTATACTTAATATGTACTGCTCCGAAACTACATTTGAGAATGTGTTTAATAGAATTCTTTATGGACAATAAACTTTAAATTACTGGTTTATTTATTATTTAATGAAAGTTATTATATAGAAAACAAAACCTGTAATTTTTCCAGCCATGTATTAGCATACATACCTATTTTTATGGCAAATAAACAGGTGCCTCGGGAGAGTTTTAATGAAAAACTTGACAATATAAATTATTACTGTAACTCATGTGTTTATATTTTTTCTACTCCCACCTTTAAACCGCACATCGTACATGTTTCCATGAAACTAAGTGAACTCTTAAATACAAGCTATGGCCTTATGGCGCTTTAGTCACGGGCTGAACTTAGCTTTAAGTTAGTTGACAGTTGTCAAATGTCGTACAAGCGTTAAAATAAAGTGCCCGTCTTGTAAAATAATACTAAATGTGGAAATAACATTATCTTAATAAAAAATTTAAAAGTATTAATTTATTAGTTTATCAACGCCGCACTGTGGTCGGCAGTAAACTAAATTTTACTAATAAAGCATTAACCCTTAAATGCATATGATTTTATTTTTGTACAAAATATACATGAAACGTTTTCAAATGGCAAATATAAAAAAATAATTTAAAAAATCAAAATCGAAAAGAAAGTTATTTTGAAAAAAAATACAATATGCAGCAAATTCCTCATCCGTCAGACCTTTTTTGTTACTCATCCTACAAAAAGATATAGGACTTTATTGTTGCAGATATACTACAATCAGTATTTTAGAAAAAAGACGATCATCAACTGTTTTTAACATAAAAGTTCATACCTTACTCATATAGTAGAATATTTTTTTATTCAGATAACAATCAAATAAAAGTGTCATTTAAACGCAATCTATGTTTTTAACATATAAGGAAAATAAATTTGTAAAATTCCTTATTATTTATTTGCTTTTGTATATTGTGGAAAAGGAATAAGGAACCAAAACTAAATATCTCATAAACATAAACATTTATTCTTTTTTAAGTTCCTAGGTAATCTTTTAATATAAAATTCAAATTATAAAATTATCTTTTTTCATTTTTGCAAAACGATCCAAAACCTTATCAATATTTAACTAGACTTTAGTACAGAGATGCGCACAAGATGCGAAATCATTGAGATTTTGCGAATTAAATTGACTACCACCATCTAGTGTAATGGTAATAAAATCGGGCTTTTATTATGCCACACTTTACAAACTATTCACAGTTGGCGACTTGGATTAATAAATTATATTTGTAGTAATTTTTTTTCTTAGGACTTCTATCTTGGGGGGGGGTAATTACCCCCATTACCCCCCCTTGTCGATGCCATTGGTTGGTAGTCCCTTTTAAGCGATTTACACAGAAAAATTTGACATTTGCCGCTAGTAATACAGATTATTCCCATTCTTATGGTAACTCTAAACAGTATAGTATGCAACTAATTTAATTAAAAACTCGCTCGCAAAATCGCTCATGACTAATTTAAATTCGTTGTCTG